CCCTCCTCAAGCAAAACTCCCATATTCATTTAATACTCCCGTATAGATGATGGAGTTTGATCACACCTCCCATGCACAGTAGTATTTGCTAGCTGTTTCTGTGCACTGGAAAAGAGCGAGCCGTGGGCTGCTTACTTGGCTTCCCTTCCAAACCCTGGCCTACTTGGCTCCCTGCACTCCCGCTCTGCTGTTAGAAAGATGATCCCTTAAAGTCTCAAAAACATAACTGATATAAACCTATCATCCCTGGGGGAAGCAGTGCAGTCCTAAAAAGAATTACATCCTTCTAACTCAATTGAAATTAGTTGATTTAGAAAAATATAACTCTGTTTAGGATTGCACCGCTAGTCTTTAAGGTGGCATAGCATTCTGTGTACACTCTGATCAATAGTTTAAGGTTTTTGTCATAGAGAACATTACGGCTTCAACCTCAGAATTGGTCAGTGGTACTGCTAGTAAAGCATTTCAAAACATCTGGACACTCCAAGCAACAGCTGAACTTATTTTTGTCATAGGGCACAGCATTCTTTGTCATCTTGCTGGAGAAAGCTTCTTTTTTGGAGGGTTTTTTTATGAAGTGGTTAGAAACGTGCATAATTTGCACAATACTATATCTTGGTATACTTGTTTTTCTGTGCTGGGTTCTTGTCTTTTGCACATGTCTGTCCAGGTTCAAAATAGCCTTGCCTAAACCTGGAAAACTATTTGAGCCATGGTTAATGTTTTCCTTTTTATAGTACAAGCTATGTTATCTGTTTGACAAGAATTTTGTCCCGTCTTCCAGCTCTCTACATGGTCCACAAATTATTGAGCGTTCAGATAGAAAACTGTGAAGGTGTGAAAATTATTATCATCTTTGAAAATGGGATAACAGAATTGATTTTTAAATAATCCAAGCTCTTAGAAAAACAGAACGTTCACTACATAGAGGATGTTTGCCCTCTGCCTGGTAATCTCATGCATGTTGCCTTCTTAGAGGACAGGTGGCTTTGTATGCAAATCTGTCACACTGTTTGTTTTTAAAATGGTGTCTGTGCAAAAGACCTTTGTCTGACAATATGTAAGCAGAGGTGTCATGTTTTGTGTATGTGTATTTTTTTTCCCCAGGAGGAGCATGAAAAGAAAAGCAAAATTCACGTGTCCGTTCAACGGTGACTGTAAAATCACCAAAGACAACCGACGACATTGCCAAGCATGCCGGCTGAAGCGTTGCATCAACATAGGCATGATGAAAGAATGTGAGTCACCACACGACATCCTGTCTCGCATTGCAAGTTTTGCAATGGTTCGAGCCCAGGTTTCTGCATAAATTTCTCAATGGTTTCTGTAACACCATTCTGACAATTGCTGCTTCAGGGTTCAGTCCAATTTCTTTCTCGACCTCTCTCTGTTTGTTTGTTTATTTATTTATTTTTTGGACTGCCTCATTTTTTCGTGCTCTGGGTTGGCAGTAGGAACCCCAGTAGAAAATTCTCCCTGGTTAGCCATAATAGGGACAAAGACAGAGAAGTTTAACAATAACAGCAGCAACAAAAACCCACAAGTCAGTTGGTGTCCTTTCTCACATATTCCTGTTTCTTAGTCTTAAAAAAATCAGCAGATCCAGTCATGGATCTCTCATATCATTTGCTTTTATAAACATGCAACTTTGTGGTGGCTCTCCTACGTTGAAAGCCCTTTGTGTAGATAGACTTGCCATGCAGTTGCAGTGGTTTTCACCATGCCTTTGCAAACCCAGTTTTCAGTTGGCTCAGGCTGCATGTATAAATCAAACCTAAGCCAAGAACTAGATATCCATTTATTTGCTGCAGTTACATGCAAATTTAAGTCTACCTGAACACAACAAAACAGATGGACTAGCTATGTCATAAATATGCACTGTGTGTCATACCCTACGGAATTGTTTGTTCAATGGAGGTCACTGTTGCGTGTTTGAATTGATTTTTAGATTTTGTAATCCACCGCGCTTTGGTGAGAAAGGCAGACTCTAAACGAATCTAATAAATAAATTAATATGCAGGATACAGCAATTTTTTAAAAGATTTCAGTGTTGGGGGCATGGGATTGGCTTTGCGATACTCCATAGGAAGATAACTGGAACTGAATAGGGAAGCCTGTGTAGACTAAAGGAAAGATGATAAGCAGTGGTAGTCAGAGTTCAGTAGTTGATATTATGTACATTATGTTACTTCATACAGGTAAGTGTGCAAGTGTGTTTCATTGTATAAAATGGGTTCCAAGCATTCAGTTGATGTGGTTTATAGTATGGAATTTCTGCTTCTGTTCGTTTTTTTTTGTTTTGGGTTTTGGCTTCAACCAGGCTGTTTTTACTATCAGCCCTCTTTCGAGGATTTTGACACCTGTGCCTACTACACTGAGCTTGTGCAGCCTGCATTATCCTGTTTGGATTCGGAGACACTTGGATTGTTTCTGAATGGGCAACTCCGCCTTTTTTGTCATTGCCACTTTTAATGCAAAGATATTTGCAGCGGCATTACAGTGGTATAACTTCAAACAACATTCTTTACATTTTTCAAAATGGCAAAAAATCTGCTGCTATTGTCGGGGTGGGGAGTAGATGAAGGGAAGTGGTACTGGATGTTTTGGGGGGTTTCCCCCCAGAAATGCACACTTTCCCGTCCATACTTTCCCAAAATCTACTTTAGGTACAATCTTTCCAGAAAGGTCATAATGAAAGAGGTTTAGGGAAGTCCACACTATAGGTAGGAAAAACCCAGAAGGTTGATGAATGCCTGACGATGCCATGCAGAATCTCAAATAAAAACTGTCACTGTTTGAGTAGAAGCCTCAAAACCTGAGGTACCTGTTGAAAGCAACCTTGGTTTTCATCTCTCAAAAAGAATTCAGTTCTGGTCATACCTGAGAGATTTACTTTTGGGACATTTACTTTTCGTCTTGTCACTTGCAGTCCTGTCATTTCCTTTTTGAACATATGAGTTCTGAGAGGCTTAGGTTTGGCCCTAAGATTCAGGTTGAAATCTCAGGGCCACCACCTTATTCTGTCTTCTATGTGTCTTCATTTATGGTAACTGCTGACATGTAAATTGAGATGAGAGGCAATAATATGGCACAAAAAGCACAAGTACTAATGTGTTTTGTGCATAGGTTGTTTCTGTTCAAAGCCACATGATGTAACTGCATGCATTCACAAATAACATGATATAATTCCTAGCTACATGGGACCATTAGTACTGTTCTTCACTGTGACACCTCCAGGTCCTACTCCATGAATCTAAAGAATCGAGATGCTGAGAACCCAGCAGTCCTAGACTTACTACACCTCTGGCCTGGTAGGCCTCTCTGTGTTTTCCAGGAAATGGAATACCATGCAACACGACAGAGAACAGTATGAGAGACTGTAACTTGGCCATTAGGTATAGACTTAGCACCTACCATGTTTATCTGCATTTTTAACTTGCTGTATTAAGCTCAGTGTATGGATTGACTGCCTCCTTGGCTCATGTGACAGTGACTCATGGAAAATGTATGTGGAAAAACTTGTGCCCAAGCAATAGACTCATTCTAATAAACTAATTTAATAAGTTCTGTATATGAGGGCTGTAGGAAGAGATTAAGGTCTTCCTTCAAATGGAACAGAAACAAATTATGCTGTGTATAACCAGCTGGGAAGGGTGGGTGGGGGAGAGGAGATGGCCTTGGAAAACAGGCCTTGCCCACTCCAGCTCCCCCTCCCAGCAGAAAGGCAGCAGGGCAGGGTGAGGCTGGGCAGGGCAGCCCCATCCCTCACCCTGTCACCCACCCTTCTCTTAGGGCTGGAATAGGGTTGCCAAGTGAATTTTACTCACCAGCAGGAGTCCTGCGCGCACCGCCAGCACATCACCGGAAGTGACGCGCGACGTCGATCACGTTGAGGGCGTGGCCTCAATCGTCGGAGGGAAAACCATAGAGTTTTCTCTCTGATGATTGGGGCCACGCCCCCAACGTGATCAACCTCTGGTGACGCAGCCACGCTGCGCTTCGGGGGGCGGAGTTCCCCCCAGGGCCCAATTCTGCCGCGGCGGAAATCGGGCCTCCAAAGCGGGGGTTTACCCGCCCCCTGCCCCCACTTGGCAGCCCTAGACTGGAATGGCATTGGTGGGAGGGAGCCTCATTGCGGGGAGACAGCCCCTCAGGCCATTGGGACTCTTTCCATTAGCCTTAATGACCAATCCTCCCCTGCCAGCCAATGCAGAATAAACTTGGTCTGTGTATCAGATAGCATTTGCCATGATATAATTCCTCTCTTTTCTAATCTCCTCAAAAAAGTAGGGAAGATAGGCTAAAGGGCAACTGAACATTTTACGCAACAAGCAGAGCCTATAGGATTGTTATAATTGTGGACATCAATAACTAATCATTGTAGAGGAAACCTTTCCTCTATACCAGGGGTCCCCAACTTTTTTTGAGCCTACAGGCACCCTTTAGAATTCTGACACGGTAATAAGTACAGCTACAAATGGCTGCTGCTGAAGGCTAGGGTTGCCAAATCCGTCTTCGCTGGGAGCGGGGGGCTCCCGGACGGCGTCGGGGGTGTGTGCACGTGCAAAGCACGCGCGCCGCGTCCACGTCACCCGGAAGTGACCTGGGCACGCTGGGCACGCTGGGGGCGGGGCCACGGCCATACAAGGGAAAACCATAGAGTTTTCCCTTGTATGGCCGTGGCCCCGCCCCCAGCGTGCCCGGCGTGCCCACGTCACTTGCTAGTGACGCGCACGCCAGGGGCAGGGTTTCCCCGGGCCCCGATTCCGCTGCGTCGGAAATTGGGGCTTCAAAGCGGGGGATTCCCCGCCCACATTTGACAGCCCTACTGAAGGTAGAGTCAGCCCTAAAATGGCTGCCTCAGGAGATAGAACTCTCCCCCCAAATGTAACGGGTCAGGTCATGCAAAACTCTACAGTAACTCTTCCACATTTCAGGGAGAAGTTCTGTTTAACGGGAAGCCATTTAAGATGAATATATTGTTTGAAAAGATTTTCTTGCATGCACACGACTTACCTTTAGACACACAGTGAAGATTCTTGTACTGTAGTTGCAGCTGCCGTTGAAGCAACTTAAAAAAAAATCTGGAAAGCCAACCAGGTTTTCCGTGGCCAATCACAAGCCCTACAGACAGGAGCCCCACCTGGTCCCACCCACGTTCTAAAAGCACTTGGCGGGTGCCGAGAAAGATGTCAGTGGACATCATGGCACTCCATGGGCACCACATTGGGGGGCCCTGCTCTAGATAGTGCACTTCTCATCTGGATCCAGCTCAAGAACCCAAGTAATGCTTTTGGAGGTTTATTTTGGAAAGAACAAGGTTCACAGGTGCTTGCTGGGGGGCAAGAGCCAGCGGGCCTCTGATTGGTGGGAGAAAGAAGAAGCATGATGTTTCCACACATTGATGGATACTGCAACAATGGTGATGACATGATGTCACTTCCAGGGAAACCTGGAATGCAAATGATTGGTACAGCGCACTGTTGCAGTATCCATCAATGTGTGGAAACATCATGCTGCCATTAAAGGTGTAGTAACAGAAACAGGAAGAGCTGCGGTGGCTCAAGTGGTTAAGACGCTGAACTGCAGGCTGTGGAAGGTCAGTAGTTCAGCAGTTCGAGACCCGGGAGCCGCAAGACGGAGTGAGCTCCCGTCTCTAGTTCCAGCTCCTGCCAACCTAGCAGTTCGAAAGCAAGAAATTGCAAGTAGATAAATAGGAACCACTTTGGTGGGAAGGTAACAGCGTTCCGTGTGCCTTGGTGTTTAGTCATGCCGGCCACATGACCACGGAAACGTCTTCGGACAGCGCTGGCTCTTCGGCTTTGAAACGGAGATGAGCACCGCAGCCCTAGAGTCGGATTCGACTGGCTTTCGAGCAAGGGAAACCTTTACCTTTACTAACAGAAACAGGGAAAGAATGACAGCTCATCAAAGTCTTGGTTCACCCAAGTAAAATAAACAATAACTGCATCAGAGTTTTCAAATAGTATTTCCTTTGCCACCTTATGCATGAACACACACATATGTATATGCTAGCAGAGTCAGATGTCAAAATTCACACACGTTTGTTGTCCAGAGTATGGTGATTTTTTGCGTATTTGTACAGTGCTACATGGAAGCTATTCAGTAGTTCTGGTATATGCTGGAAAAAGTCTTACAACAATCCATTAGCTGCAGAAATCTGAACAATTTTCACTGTATTGGCATTTGAACTGTAGCTATAAATCAGCAGTTTAGG